TTGCTATTGAAATAGTTCCTGCAAACACAGTCCGTGGTCGTAGAAATATGTCATACTGTCATACTGGGTTTAGCGTAGCGAAGGTGAAGAGATTTGGGGGCAAACATGAATGGGGTAGGCCTAGCTTTCGGGAGTAGGGGATATTTTTGTAACCACCTCATTATAGATTCCTCAAGATACCCATGTCTTAAAAATAATTTGAAAATATCTGGCATTCATTTATTGTAGATTGACCCTTGTCTCAGATGCCAACTTTCTGATCAAGGGTTGCCCTCTTGCCCTTCGCTGTGCTTTTATTTCATAGATAAAGGTCCGTTCCATACAATGCCCAACCATTTCAAAAGCTAATGGTCCACCGCTGTCGTCGTGAACACGACAGTTACTCAAAATTGCAGTACTCAAATTCATTTACTCAAATTCGTTTTATGAAACCAAGATTTAGTTGAACCTTCTTCTACATGTCACTCTTATAACATGATAAGGCATTGTGTTCATATATTTGTTTGTGAATTGTGGACTGCCTCAGCTATGAATAAATGTTGCTGACTGTATTTCTTGTGTGATGCGCCGTTTTGTGAACTGCAATGCCTGCCACGAGCTATTTACTTGGAACACCCAGCAATTTACGCTGCATTTGATATCTTTCATTCCTTTCATGAAAAAAAATTGCTACTTCCTCCCCCTTCCCCCTAAAACAATGTTGATGATTTAGAGAAATATCATAAAAGAAGCGCAAAAGAAAGTGCTTCCTAAAGTCCTAACCCGTTTGATAGTAAACCAACATTTATCTGTAGGGGAGAGGGGGATGATTGATTTTGACATTGGAAATTGATGTCAATGTTCCAGTCTTTTGGTAGGCATTGTAGGGTTTACCATAATGAACGTGTCCAATAAGATGGAGGATAGTAACTCTTTCAAGAGGTCTTGAGGCGTGGTCACATCGAGAGGACGATAGCTTCATAAGCATAGATTCTCAATGTCTTAAAAACTACACGCGTATGCTAGGTAGAAAAAATTACCAATAAATGCAAAACCATGTAAAAACCATTTTGACTTGCTCATACTTGTTCAAAGCCGTCGGAAGAAAAGGATAACTTTGACGTCACAGGGGTCTGGCGCACAACGGTCAATACTTTTGAACATAGATTAAGTTCTATTCATTCTATAACAAAACTATATTACCTATACTGCCAGTTCTTATCTTGAAGCTCAAGAACAACTATGTCTCCGACTATCTTAAAATAAAAAGCTTAAAACCATTCTCTATCACAGCAAGATCTTGTAAGAGATTGTATGGTATGACGTACTTGTCAATAGATGCTGTTGTTGAAGTGACTTTATGTACACGTTGAAGTGTGCGTTGGAAGACAGAGAATTAGAACGGATCGAAGTTCGAACCTAAACTAGAATTTATGTTATGATTGATCGAAGTTATACATTGGAATTAAAATTTGGGCCTAAACAATTTACTGTTGTCTTTTTTATCCAGTATCTGTAGTACCGAACTGGAGCCATCAGCATATAACAATTCTGCACAGATCAGTACTGGCATCTGAAATCTAAACAGTAAGATTAAGAGTAGGACTACCCTGTGGCGGCGCCAAGGGGTGGTATGGGGGGGGGGTAATTACCTCCCCACTTTTCTGAAAATATGGTCTATATATTTCTTCTAAAAATGGATTAAAAAGCGCTGGGTAGGGGTAGATCAAATTTTCCAAGGTAAGGGACGAATCACTTGAACGAGGTAAAAGGGGCGTGGTCACACTGGCCACGCCCATTGCCCTCCCACTCTGTAATAGCTGGCGCCGCCACTGGGACTACCTGTAACGGGCGAGTGCTGTAAGGGGTGGGGCAGTAGGGGTATAGCCCCCAAATAATTCCCGACACGTATCATAAACTATGAATCATCTTTTAAGTTGAGCTCTTAAAACCTTTCCAGCCGAAATATGTACCATGTTTTTTTAGGGGCACCCTTCATCCAGGGGTGCTGCGCTAGGGGGCTCAGCTTGCTTAACTCCCCTTTTAAAGCCGAAAATTAGTCAATTTCTTTTTTAGCCAATTGTACACGAGCCCTCTTGTTTTTCGATAGCATTACACCACTGCCTACATCCCCATCATATCGACCCCCTAAGTACCCCCAAATTATATTCTATTTTAATGCACCAATTCAACTTACGCCCTCGTTTTAGAAATTTCTCCAAACTTCATTGTACCTATTTTTAAGCTCAGATTTGGTTTTATCACCATAATTTTAGGCCGGGTACAATTTTTCATTTTGTTTGCGCTTGTATTTTAGATTTTACGGAGAAATGAAGTTTGAAAATTTGGTGAAGAAATTGTTCCTCACTTTACCCCCTCATTTGCCAATCAAAGTCAAATCCCTTATAGAATTTTCATTTTCATGCCTTCATAAGATCGATATCGCGAGGAACAGCATAACGAACACTTCCAAGAAGACTAAAAACCTTGCGATCGTTCTGAAATTAAGATAAAAAATTTGTACAAAAGAATTTGAAGAATTCTCCACAATGAGGCTGTAAGTTAGATTGGTGTATTGCTGAGCAAAAAGTCTTTGATTTGATTGCCCTCGATTTTCAGAAAATAATCCACGGAAAACAGCTTTATGATAAGATTTTAAAAATTTTCCAATTCAGTGGCAAAACATTAAATTTGCAGTCTCTAACTGTGCCTCGAGTTTATCCGCGACACAATAACGGCTTTAACACAAATGATTCGGGCATTTTAGAGCAAATTTCACGGAATTGTTAAATCGTTGACAGTTCGTTAATTCACTACACTAAGTGAACCTTTTCATAACTCCTCTTTACTCCGCCAGACATTTTGAATGAAGCGATAAAATTTTTGTGAAAGTCCTAACTTGTTTTCAAAAAGAATGGAGTAACCTTTAAAGAAAACCCTTAGTCCACGATTGTTGAGTTCATTGTTTGATTGTTCGAGTGTCGACGCCAAACATCTCGTACTTCGAATAGGATGGGATGTTTACCAATGAACATTTGGAGTTTCCTTTCAAATTCGGTAGCCTTTGCCTTATCTTCATTTCTTTGTATAAATCTTCTTTTATGAAATAAGCAAAAATAAGTTTTAACAATCATAATTAAAGTGGTGCAGACACGAATTCAATAGCCAATTTGTGGTTGTTTAAATAGCGTAAAACCCGGACTGGGACCGGCGGATCATGGAATGCAAATATTGAAATATATTATATGTACAGGGGTATAGCAAAAAGAAGAAGGGGGTAATAAACTGACAAGTCAGTAAAATTATAGCAAGTTCTGTTTTTTTAAAATATAATGTACATTATGCGAAAGGGGACGATTTTTACTGAAGGAGTAACGTTGCTTGAATGTAACTTAGGCCTTCGCAAGATTTGCCCACTCGATTTGGTTTAAAGCAAATAAAAATATAGGATCAGTGTCTAGTTCTTTAAAATTGCTACCAAAAATCGTGCAAGCGAGTCACAGCATTTCAGACATAAGTTGAACTTTCGCTCAAATTCGGTGGAGTTTTGAGGATAACTGTTTGCAGACAGAGAAACTATGTCCGCATATCACATCATTATTTGTTTTGTGTGATATACAGTGTCATTTTTCTGTTCTCCTATTTCATTGTTTTTCATTTATAGGTCTATACGTGGCTCGGGTTTTATTTGCGATGTTCGTGGTATTTGGTTTCGTTTCAACCATCCACGTTTGACACTACAAGGGTTTCGCTATGTCCGAGGGATATACTAGCCGAGCATTGATTGGATAAATCTTAAGCGAAACCGAATGATATGAAACGACTATAGATTTTTTCTGCCGTTAAGGCACCTTGGTAGGGTATGCTGGGTACTCAGAAATATCTATAAACAATAATTAAAAGTAACAGCTAGCCACATCGGGACTTTAATAAATCGAGGTAAATCACTCCAAGAAATTCTCGCACACTTTTTGTGAAAATCCTATTGTTTTATATGAAATCCCTGGAAATCCTTTTGTTTTAGGGAAAAATCTCGTACGCTATTTGCAAGAGTGATTTGCCCCTCTTAGTAAATGGTGCCCCTTGACCCCCAGGACTACACACCCGAATGGGATTTTTCTCTGCATGCCAAAACAAATAGGAGAATTAATTAGGATTGGGGGGGGGGGGCAAATGAATTTGGTTGAGGCTCAACATGTTTAGAACCAAGACAACGCATTCTAGGGTTATTAAAACATTTATAGGTACATTGAGGAAGCAGGATTCCTTAGCCCCCTCCCGCTTCTGTGGTCCATGTCATAGAAAAATATTATCAAAGGACCCACGCAATATATTATCACTCTTTGATAAATAAGAGTTTTGTAACGTTAAGAATAAAATTAAGCATTAAAGTATAAATCCAGTTATTACTAAAATCAAGATAAAATAAAAGACCTTATTTTATCTTGCAAATAAATAGTGGAAATGAAGTTGATCATTCGACTTCATTCGAGAATCACTTGGACAATTTATTTGGAGAGAAGAAATACTCTGTAAAGAAGACCTTTTTTTAATAGTTTAGATTAAGACAACAACATTATCTTTTTGAGAAAATAAGATGAGTATGGAATGGCTTTTCCCAGGACAGACTATTTTTCTGACATCCATTATCGATCAGTTGAGTGTTACACTTGTTATTACTTAGAGTTTGGCTTGACATGAGTGGTCTGTCAGTATAATTGTCTGTCCAGGGTGAAGTCACTCCAAAGATCTGTGACAGGCTCTTAGCACAGTTATAGTTCTAGTTTTTCAAGGGGGAATTCACTTTTGTAAATAGCGTACGAGAATTTCATCAAAACAAAAGGATTTCTACAAATTGTTTGATGCAGCAATAGAATCCCCACAAAAGCTGTACGAGACTTCCACTCATCATCAATCTCAGATTGCCAGCCCCTGAATCCTTCGGTCCACGATTCCAATTGCCACTTGACACCAACAGGCTTGAGCAAGCGACCCCCGTCCTGTCTACTACATTTTCAATGCGACTCTGAAAAGAGAATGCTTAGCACCTCATATCTTGCTTTGGCAGACACTCTGGAGTCAGTGTATTGTCTAGAATTCGTTAACCCTCGCTTAAATGGCCACATTCTAAATGTGTCATGGAACAGTAATAGTCCGCTACAACTTGCCTGCTGGATGCAGTTTAATAGTGGAGTGAAACCTTTGCGGTGGGCAGACGTAGGGTTTGAAGCCAATGTGATGTCGTTGAAACCCCTTTGGTGTTGTTGAAACCCTTGTGATGTTGCTAATGATCGCGTATCGTTACTGATCAACGCAAGAAAGATAACAGAGTACAATTTTATTTCACGAAATCAATGTGGTCAAGCCAAGCCGGGTTGTGCTAGCTCTTTACTCTATCGGCTGGTGGCGATTTGGTAGCTGCAGCCTTCAAAAGGTCATCAAAATCTGTGACTGGCTATCTCTGTAGGAATTCACAGAGTTTCACAGCGCATCTAACCGAACATGGATTGTCATAAGAAAGGGACTTTAAGCCCCTGTTTGTTCCTCTTGTTCGCTCTAATTATCACATCAAATCGCCAAACTGCAGCGAAAGAACAACATAAAGGTTAGTTGAAACATTCTAAATACAATGTTTTGTCTTTGACGTCAACACGAGGAGTATCCTTTTAGATTATAACATAAACATGGTACCATTCTCATTTCCTGTATCGAACAACCGTTGCTCTAGAAAATTTTTTCGTCTGATCTTACTTCATTCCTATAAAACATTCTTACTTCTTTCGTGATATTAGTTCTAAGTTTTAAGGTCAATATAGTCGGAACAGATTTCCTTTAATATATTTTCCCACCTCAGTTTCTAAATCTAGCCCGCATGGAAATCCTCAATAATACGATTTCTGTTTCGATTATATCATACTTCTTTGAAAGTCATTTCGATATTACACTGTAGATTGGAAATCGATATCATTATTTTATCGTTCTTCTGCGAAACACGAGTTAGCTCAAATTTATGGTTTTGAAGTCTCAATTTTAGTACATCAAACCCAAATATTCAGTAATTTGATTGACTTAAACCCGGTTGAAAAATCAAGTAATCATGGTTTGGATTTTTGGCCGAGTCTTTGTTACATTTATGAATTTTAAATAGCTCTTTATTGTTTGCAAATCCTGAAGAATACATGAATATCTTATCAACAACATACACGATGGAAACAACAATGTAGCAACACAAATAATTTTTGCGTGATTTCGTCTTTCGTGATATTATCATCAGTGTTAAATCTGCTGAACTAAATCGTATGTTTTTCTGCCAACTTCGATTCAATATCTTCCGATAATTAGTACAAATCAAGGAAGCTTTCTAGGAATGCGAACGATTTACAAAAACAAATCCGTGTACTATTATTGTCAGTGAAGCCAGGCTAGTTTGGTGAAACCTTTGCGAAATCAGACGAGCAAATGTAGGTTTGGTGAGGCCACTATTATGTCAGGGCAGTTATCTTTCCAACTGCTGACTTCTTGTTTTGCGAAACCTTTGCGAAGTTAGACGAGTCACGATAGGCTTGGTGTGGCCAATATGAAGCCACCCAAGGCAATTATGTTTCTAACTGTTGGCTTCTTGTTTAGCGAAACCTTTGCGAAGTTACACGGGTCACTGAAAGCTTGGGGAGGCCAATATTTTGCAGGGCAGTTATGTTTGTAACTGTTGGCTTCTTGTAAAAGCTCTAATTAACATTACTGTGCTAATTAACTAAATAACTGGTAGTAAACACCGCTATTGAATGAAGCGATCTTCTGCGTACATGGCAATTTTAATCGGCTAGTTTCCATTCCAAATTTTTGTGTTTTTCAATACTGTTTGCCAATTGTCGCCACAAACAGACTTATGGTTGTAGGGGGTCTACTTAACTGTGTCATTATTTTGCAATGACTTATTTATGAATCAGCCCCTCCGTCATCAATGCCCTCCTCCTGTTGGGAGTGTTATCAAGATAAAACAAGAGAAGTTCTCTTATTTTATCTTGGTGTTATTGCAAGCACACTCTCCGTCTAAAACCCTAATTAATCACTACGATCAATATCAGAACAGCAGAGCTATTGGAGCTCTTTGATTGATTCAGTGATTGATTGATCGTATCAGTTTTGATCGATTTGAGTTTTCTACTTTCCCTCTGGCACCTGAAATCAATTTCGAGACCATTTCGCAAGTTTCAGTTTCGAAGAATCTGCTGGGGACTTTAATATGTGATGGACTGAATCACCAGAAAGTAGAGAATAACATATCTTAATAAGACAAGATAACATAAGATAAGTTGTCTTGGTTAACCTTAAACAGGCTTCTTTATAAGATACTGTTGTATGAAATTTTGATGGGTTTCTTTTGGAGATACGGTGCAGGGTGCAGATTGCTTTAGCCCTGAACTGATATGGGCTAAATCACGATTGCGTCATTATATGCCCATGTTTTGCCCCAGGCCCCAGCAAAGGTCTCGGTGTACTTTTTGAAGATTTCTGGAATGAAGCCTTTGCTGTGTAAGGAATCCCACATAATGCACTTTTTTAGAGTTGAATTATTTAGAGAATTGAATTATTTAGCTGGTTCTGGGGGCCCATTTCTACTATTAGCCCCTTAGTTTTATCTATGACCATGACAACAAACCCTCAGATTTTGGGATAGTTAGAATGTCATGGTAGCCAACCTTCTGATCGTACCTGATGATGATATTTAGAGAGGACTTGCCTGGAAGCCCTGGTTGGCATATTCTCTTAAATTTAGTCGCCTAACCTCAAATATTGACTATTCGTTTACTGCGAACCTTATAGGATACCAGCTGTTCTAACCACATGATAATATTTTTTGCCATAATGAAAACATGTCGAAATGAAAGTTTCATCCATCCTCTCGACTGGGTTTGGATTTAGCATGGCCTCCAAAGTATCATTCTTGACTAGACGGCCTAATTGATACAGTCAACAGAGAGAAAAGGATCATAGCAAAAACGGTCCATTGATCTTGTTTTTTGCAACCCGAATGCTTCTTAGCTGGCCTACCGCCTCTATATGTTTCTTGACAAGGGTTTGCGGTGAAAACATGGTACGCGGACGGGTTAGTGTGAAGGTAAGAAGAAAGACACCTTTCTCTTCAGTCGCTCTTCCTTTCCTTCGCTACATTTCAAAACAACCAGCTTTATCAAAAATCCATTTGTGATTCTCTAGAACCCAGGGTATCATCCCTGATTCCCTTGTACCCTTACCCAGGGCTGTAGAAGAGTGGGGCTCAGCCCCCTTCAACTTTTCGAAGGGGGGCTGCACCTCCTCCTATTTTTTGGGGTAGCTTTAAGATATAATATCATTGCTAATTTCTGCCAGGATCAAATCTTTGATTGAACTGATATTAATTTTACTACGTAAAATTATTTATTTTTAAGATTTTTCTATTCAAGTAACAGGTAGACATTGGACGGTGATTTAACCCTAGAAAAAATGGCAAGAAATTGATATTGAGGACTCAGGGGCGTCAAGACCGGGGGTGTGGGGGTGTCATACCCCCAATAGTATCCCAATAGGGAATTTCAGGCAAAATCCGGTCGGTGGAAGAAACATTTAAGGCAGAGACATTCCTGTCTTAAAATCAATGAAGAATCGAGCAAAGGTAGTTACTCCGCTGGTTAAGTATGATTCTCCTTGATATCCCTTGATATGGATGAAGGTAAACAAACAAAGCGTTAATGATTTGAAGATTCCTTTTTGGCACTAAATCCAAAAATCCAGGCCCTCTTTAGGTCAAATTGTGCCTTGTGTCAATTTCTCCAAAAGTTTCTCAGTAATTCACAACTGCAATTCACAATGAGCTCCAGATTTTTATCAGTCATTTTTTATCTGCTGCTCAATTTGTTTGTAAAAATAAAAGACTTTTCAGAGCATAGGGAGATTTTCTATTCTGTGCCCATGCACATTCCTTCATTCGATGACCTCTCTATTCTATTGCGAAATTCTTTTCAATCGTATTAAAAATTGATAAATAACACCTATTGATGAAGGTTAAAAAAGCGTGTAAAACTTTTCTTTTGACACACGCTTCGTTTTATCATTAAATGTGTTTAGCCATGTCTGTGTTTTTAGTGCTGTTTCTTGCGTTTGTAAAGATAATCAAAAAGGATTACTTTAGAAGCAACCTCAGAAAATTAATGAAAGTTCCATAACATGATGGTTAATCAATTTGTTGCTTGTAAAGTACATTGAGAAAATTGTTTTTTAAGTGCCTGTTAAAAACCATGGCATCTTTTTTAATTGAAACCTTTGCAGTGTGCAGACGTTTAGTGTTTGAAGCCAATTATCCTGCGTCACAGACCCAATCCTCAAAGGCTTGAAACCATCGCGAGGTCATTGAAACCCCTTTGGTGCTGTCGAAACTCTCTTGGTGTTGTGGAAACCTTCTTGGTGTTTATGAAACCTTCTTAGTGCTGATGAAGCCCTCTTGGTGTTGTCGAAACCCTCTTTTTTGTCGAAACCCTTTTGGTGTTGTGGAAACCTTCTTGGTGTTAATGAAACCTTCTTGGTGCTAGTGAAGCCCTCTTGGTGTCCACCTATATAAAAAAGATAAATCTGCTTGCTGGGGCCAGAGGTGTGGAGTTTGGGGGCAAAGTGGGTTTAGGCTGATCCCTTGTATATGTTAAAAAAGACACATAGCTGTCGTCTGTCGTAGATTCAAAACCCCTCATATCCGTAAGAATCAAAACCCCCGGATTTACCCTCAATTTGTACTCGTGTTGCGGATCAGACGAATGGCAATTCGTGGGCTATCATCCTGATATTTGAATCATTTAAATTTCCATCGGAAGGATTGAAGCAATATAGATTGACCACGGCTAGACAAGCGGCGACTAGGAAAGATTAAAAAATATTTAAAAAAGACACATAGGCACTGCGCCCAGAAGTCAGTTATCCTTCCTAACGGAACTGGACTAGTGACGTCATGAGATAACTGTGATACAGGAACTTTTGCAGGGTACACACATATATACATACGTGGGGAAAATTTGAGAGTACATGTTGTCAAAGTAAGGGATCAATGTTTCATTTCATTACATTTTAAATTCTTTATTCACGGTAACCCCGTCAATCTATGCAGATTGCTTGTCAGGGAGCTATGACAAAAACTCACAAATAAATAAAAGACGAAACTTAGAAATTGATAAAATAATTTTTAAAAGCTAAGTTATGCATAAATAAAGTTTAAAAAAGGGATTCAAATAATTTTTAGATTTGTAACAGGATCATCCAAGACCCCCCAATATTACCTATTCATAAAGAAATTTCCTCCACATAGGGGCTTAAACCACCTGCTTTTCATTAACGGACTACCTAAGCGCCTCCCCCTCAAACCACATGTCTTCAATAACAGAAATGCCTCAGGCACAAACATATTGGGGCCAGAACAACACCGAAAAGTTCCAAAAGCGGAGATATATCCATTAATGGATATTAGAATGGTTGCGAGGATGGCTCAGTTGTTAGAGGCGCGGACTACAGACCCAAAGTTCGAGTCCCTGGCAGGACCAAACATTTACCCAGAGTGGGGAGAGTCGCCAGCTCTCTGTAATT